CACAAGGCAAACAGTTGTAAAACGATTTATCTTCTTTCGCAAACTTTTAGTCGGCACACAGATAATACATACCTGCTGTATGACAAAGATACTTCACTCTAAGGACTTTTTCCTAAAGTGCTCTTTTCAAAGAGACTTCACACCCTATTAAGACCTTTGTGTCAACTGACAGCCGCCTGCAGAAAGGTAGGGTAAGGAAGACCAGATCGCGTCGTCTAAACACGTCTTAAGCAATCTTCGCGAAATTCGGGCTTCGTGTATACACGTCTTAAGCATTTTTCGTGAGATTTGAAATTCGTGTAAAGACGTCTTAAGCATTTTTAAAGGAAATTCCAAAAACGTTTAAACACGTCTTAAGCAGTTGAAGGGTTAAGGAACTTTGCAAGCTATTCGGCATCGACGAAACCCGAACAGAGTCTTTACATCCCCAGTCAGACGCTATTGTTGAGAGGTTTAATGGAACCATTCTTAATAAGCTCTCGTTAGTGGTTTCCAGAAACTAACACGACTGAGACAAGAAGCTACCTCTGTTTTTACTGCCCTATCGCAGTGCTGCTCATGAGACTACCGGCTATTCCCCATTCTAGTTGCTCTAAAGTTCTGACTTTCGTCTGCCTTGTTGTCTCTTCTTTGGTCGCCCTCCAGATGTGCCTCATTGCCTGAGGAGTACATCCAAGATCTCCAGACATGGTTTGAAGTGATGCACAGTTTTGCATGAGAGCGAATACTTGGCGCTGGAGAATTTGAAGACCCGATACGACACGAGAGCTACACGACATCGATTCAACGTAGATGACAAGGTGTGGTTGTGAAATCCGATTTGATGGAAAGGACTCTGTCTAAACTACAGTCACCTTGGGATGGTCCTCCCACAGTCCTAAACAGGCTGAACAATGCTGTTCGGACCCGTAAGTCACCAAATTCTAAGCCTAAAGTCATTGATTACGACAGGTTAGCCCCTTACTATGGTCATAGTACATAGTCCCGATAGTGTCTTATCAACCTATCATCGGTCTTATCAACCTATCATCGGAGCTATGTGCATTCAATCTATTACGAACCCTACGCACGCAACATTATGTATATGCCAATAACAGTACAGGAACCAGGAGATCGCATTAGAAGATAGATTTTGCTATTCGTCTAAGATCATTTTTTTAAAATTTAGCATTGCCAAAATTTGAATATTTTCGTCATTTTAAACACTTTTGTAACTGAAAGTATATGACTACGATCAACCATTGTGAAAATAAAGGCTGGGTAAGTAGTTTTAAGCCTGGTAAGAGAGTGGGTATATACGTTTGGTATTGCCGATTGCAACAGAAAAGAGAGGTGCGCAGCTAGATGTTATAACAGTTCCGTAAACAAAATTTTCCAAGTTCTAGGATTAATCGATATTGAGTTATGCGAAATACATACATAGATAAGTAGGTACGTACAGACAGTACGATAAAAGTCCTTGCTGAATTTATTTTGCAATTCGTTTTAGAAAAAAAAAAAAAAAAAAAAAAAAAAAGCTTTATTCTTCCCGTACACACAAATGCCATGCAAAAAACCGTTCAAATGAGTTCAAGAGCGGCCAATAAGGATATTTTCGTTGAAATATGATAACAATACTTCTTTTACTTCGTACAAGAAAGTAAAAAAGCATTTTATACGAAATAAGAAATTTTATGAGAAAAAAATCTACAGAACCTATATTTATACAGCTGGTGGAATGATGGTTAAATATAAAAGGTGTAAATCTACGCATACTTAAACATGTGTGTATTACATGCATGCCTGGTTTAGCTGTTGTTGCATATCTACGAGAAAATATGCCTGAAACGCAGCAAATGTGCTGATTGTTTAAATCGGATGGGAGGGGAAGGTTAGGTTATTTGAACATGGCAAAGTACATGAGGGATAACTGAATATGGAAAGGAATGCAATAGTGGAGGTCTTTCTGAGGCAAACTGGCTCAGTCACGTTACACATGGGGAAAACCGCGAAAACACACCAAGCAGCCAGCTCGTTCGCTTGGGTTTAAATGTAGGTCCAATTAATTACTATTCAGCAGTCTTAAACTCCGTGACTAGTGATGGGCAACTTCGGTACATTCTTGTACCCGGTACGAGAGAAACGGGTACAAACAAGTACCCGGTACAAAATACCCGTTACTCAAGTAACCGTTACTTTGAAAAGTACCGAAAACCGATTTCAAGTACCGAGTACCCAAGTAACGATTTGGAGTACCAAAGTAACGAAATACCGGCGTAACGATTTGCTGTACCGGAGTACCCTAGTAACGGTTTACTGTACCGGAGTACCCTAGTAACGATTTGAGTACCAAAGTATCCTACTAACGATTTGGAGTACCGAAATACGCAGGTAACGATTTTGCGCAATGAAGGAACTCTGTCACGTCACCACGTGTTTGATTTTATCTGTACGGAGTAAGATTTTGAATATCAGAAAACATGTCAACTACGGAAGTGTCTGAGGAGCAGACCATTCATGGACACAAGGAGCGCATATCACTATTTCGCAAATACAACCAGATACTACTGTCTTCGTACCAAAACCGAAGCGAGCTGAACCCTCATCGATCCTCCAGTAACGAATACCGAAATACCGAGAAGAGATGCATATTTTCGTTAAAAATTAACGAATACTGAAAAGCACCCGTTTCGGTACAGAAGTCACGAATACCGAAAATTATCCGTTTCGGTACAGAAGTAACGAATATCGAAAAGTACCGATTTCGGTACAGAAGTAACGGGTACTTGGATGTACCGATTTTCAGTACCCGTTACAACTAAGTACCCGTTACAAAATACCCGGTTCGGTAGCACCTACTCATCACTATCCGTGACTGCTCAGCCCCACCAGTCACGAAATCACCCACCAGTCACCAAAATCAGAAAGTGCCAGTTAAGTTTTTTCAGTAAAAGTCAAATTAGTGGTAATAATCAAAATGTATCAATTCTAAGTATAATGAAGCGAATAATAATAATATAAACAGGGCAGTTATTTGGATAGATGATTCAGGTTCGTCATCACGCCTGTTTGATAATGAACAACTGTTAACTGGTTCTAACAATATTACATCAGAAATTTCTATAACTCTATGTCAGTCTAAGTTAGGTAAAAATTAGTTACTGTAAAAACTAATAAACGCATTTTAAAGGATTTATTGTATATTGCAAAGCTAGGTAAGAATTTATTATCATTATGATATTGTAACTAGTATTATCAGAGCCTAACTGAGGCAGGGGCATACGGGGCAGTTGCCCGCCTCCCCCACATCAGAGAGGATTCCAAATTGAAAAGAAAGTTTATTATAAAAATTTAAATACCTCCATAAAGTTCGGTTGTTCATTACTGAAATAGTGAAGCAGGGGGGGGGCAAAGAAAGTTTTGCCCCGGTCCCCAACTAGGCTAAGTCGGGCCCTGAGTATAAGTGGCGATGTTAAATTTCTTGATAATGAAGAAGACGAAGGATTTTAGAAGGATATAGAACTTATATTCTATATAATGCAATTCCTTGACAGGAAACTGCAGATTTTTTTTTTTTTTTAAATACAAGAAATCATTTTCAGAATTCTACCGAATTTACTAAAAGCCATAACTGATATCTTTTTGCACTTGGATGGAGATATGTTGTTAGCAATTAACCTCTAAAATCCTGTCCTGTTAAAATAAATTTTGTAGACTCACTCATGATTCAGAAAGTAACGGACGAGAAGAAAGGAAAGGAGAGGATCCGGAAGCAGTCTTCGCTAGGAAAAATATAAGGCTTTTAAATTGACCTTCCACTCGTCCTTGCTCATAGTGGGTTCTCAGAGTGTTGCGATTCAACAATTATTAGGTCATTAATTTGTATTTAACATTTAATAGTCTATTATTAAGAAATGGACAATATAAAAGCAATATTTTACCACTGCGCGGAGCAAAAGGCTAAATATATCTTCTACGTGCTTTTTCATTTAGCCGGATTTCAGTGTATTACAGTTCAAAATAGTGTAAGATTTAGGATTTGTCTTTTCTGCCGTATTTCGAATCCCAGAAAGGGTACTGATGAGTTTTCACTTTCCCGGTTCCAGGGCTTAATTTTTAAAATGAGGGGTGTCCGAGCCTTATTGAAAATTGTTATGAAATGTAAGAGCAAATAAATAAATATCATAATAAATAATTAATGATTAAAATTAAATAAAAAGGTAAATAAAAAATAATTAAAAGTTTATATAATGGCAAATATTTAAACAGCAAATTAAGATAAAAGTTAGTTTTATTGTGCTTGTGGCTCGTGTTCATTCAAAAACTGAGAAACGGAGCCGCGCTCTATTGGGCTTCGTCTGAATTTACTGAATTTTTTGCTCGTCTCTGAAATAATAATAAATCTCTACAACGTACTCTCTGAAATATTAAGTCCAAACTAAAATTGGGAGACCCATAATTCTTCACCATTGAAACTCATACGGTCACTTGTGGTCGAAATCCTTACGCGGGCACAGTTTTCATGTTTTAACCCTAATAAGTCTGCATATCCAATTAAAAGTTAAAAAATTATATCATTATTTTAATCAATAAAATAGGTTTCTAATATCATACGTTTCATAACTGGTAAAAAAATCTTTCTTTCCTCTCCCATTTTTTCTGAAATTTTTAGTGTAAACCTTTTGTTTTGAGATTAATAAAACTAAATTACAATCTAAGCCGCACATAAGGCTAGATTGTAATATAGCCTTATATGGGTGTGCTGTTTTGCTCTCATACGAAATCTAATCAAAAAAAAAATTTTAAATTTAACATCTGAAAAATAAGCCCTTTTCTTTATAAAGATTATCTGTCATAAAAAGACAAATTATAAAAAGCTTTCTTCCTTATTGTAAATATGAAGGAAATACGGGTTAAATAAACTTCCGTTCCTTTCTTTGTTCCACCTGCTACAAGTAACCCCTATATTAGCGCATATATATTTGCACCTTTGACCTAATTAAAGCAAAGAACATTTTGACTTGGTTTTCTTAACATTTCGACATTGTTTTTCTTTTTTTTTTTACTTGTGGTTCGAACACTGTCTTAAAATGTTAAGATTTTTCAGTTAAGAGAGTTTTTATATAAACACAGTTCTATAGAAATAATTATCCAAACTTTTTTCAACAGCAGGTAAGTCTCTTGTTGTGATAATAACAACTAATGTGACCTGTGCGAATAATTTTTCCCGAAATTTTTTAGTAGTCTATTTCATGTGTTACGATGAACTCTCTTTAAATATTTCATGTGATTTTGAAAAAATAGCTGAAAGAAATTTGAAAATATATTGAATATCTTAAAATGTAGCAATGGATATTACAATATCAATTTGAAGTTCAATGAAAAAAAAAAAAGTTTCAGCATTTTTCATTAATGTCCTCTTTCAGTTTAAGTTCTTAGGCAGCATGCAAGTGATTATTCTTTTGCGCCGAAATTTATAACATGTAGTATAGTAACATTTTCTTCTTATTTACAATAACGTTATAAATACTTATAAAATACATCACATTCTGAATCAGCAGATTATGAATTATGTCATCTACAGACTCTAAACGTAAAATTAAAGGATAATAAGAACTAAATGCATTTCTTTTAAATCTTTCAATTAAGTAAGGTATAATTTGAATGAGAAAGGACCGATTAAAAATCTTATGCGAGTCAAATGGCAGTATATTCAAGAACTGGTAATTTTTCAGGGCATGTGGATGATAATTTGAAGATCTTATGTCGCGTAGAATGACAACGTTTAGCAGGCCGTATGCCGAATGTTGGTTGAGTTAAATTGATAAGAATGTTGAATGTTTTCTGTATTTTTTAATATTTAGTTTTCAATCTTCAACAATTAAACAATAAGATATTTTTATCTCACGGCTGAATTGTTTAACATTTAATATCTGTTAGAAATCAAGAAATTTTTTCTAATGGTTACTGATATTATCAAGTTTCATTCCACAGATAGAAAGAAAAAATACTATTGCTACACAGAAAATATTTATGTTAATAATTTTAAAATTAACGAGTATATGCTCTTCGAGGTTAAAATAACATCTTGATTGTAAAGTGTTCTGAACGAATGTAAAGTGAGCACAAAAAATAAATCCTGAATTATAATGGGATTTCTAGTTTTCTCTTTGCTGAATAAATACAGTTTTTCTTTATTGGATGCCGTTTAGTTACATAAGAAAATGTTTGATAATTTAATTGTAAAATCTTCGGACTATAATGATCCTCTAGATTTTAAAGTTACATTGTAATTAATCTCCTACATTACCATTTTGGCTTCTAAATAACTTCCACTTTCATCAACTTCCTCCAAAAAGCGAAATAATTTACGTATAAATAAACTGTTTTAAAATTATTTAAGATGTAACTATGCTTTTTTTTTTTAAAACAAGGGTTTTTTATTTTAAAACAAGGGTTTTATAAAATAAACTTTCATTTAAAAGTCATAAAATAATTACTAATCTGAAAGGATTAGTAATTTCTACTACTAATCTGAAGGAAAGTTTATTTTATAGCTTCACGGTAACAAGAGATTAAATAATACTCTTTACGAAATGATCCATAAATTTATGTCACGATTAATAAAAGCATGGGCACTCTGGATAAATTTATAAAGATATATAATAGATCTTAAACTGAATAGAACAGGCACAACTTCTGCTAGATGATACTTCCGCTACTTTTGAATATTTAAATTAACATAACAAGTAGTTAAATTCAAATGTATATACCGTAGTTTAGGACTACAGATGAAATAGATTAGTTGAGCTGGCTCAGAATTTTACTGGCACATAATTAAAAACATCGGCTGGTAAAACGCTAAATCTGAATATAACTTTAAGCAGAGCTGACGAGAGTAACTAACAGCAGGACGAAGTTGTCAGAAGCTCCTAATCTAAAGATTCAAAAACCAGCAGCTTAAATACACACAAACTAATCTGCGTTTTGGTGAGAAATACGGAAAGGAGAATTTATGGTAAAGACTTAAATCATAATAACTGGTTAATTAACATAAAATACCTTACGTTTTCTCCATCACAATTTAAATAATCACAAACTAAGGTCTTAATGATTGGCAGAGATCTTGGCTAAGATTTTAAGCATGAAGCCATGTGTTTAAAACAAGCTGTTTAAACTAACAAAATCAAATTGTGCGAGAAGAGAAGGCATTTGTTATAGTACCATTTCAACAACGATTAACGCAGTGTGGAGACTTTTGAACATATTTAATAAAAAAAGGCACTAAATTATTTAAGATGTAACTATGCTTTTTTTTTTTTTAGCTGAATTAGCTTATATATAAGGCTTGCAATAAATATTTCCTTCAAGCGGCAGATTTTTTTTTATTTAGCTAGGTACTAAATTCATTTGCTAAAAACTAAAAATAAATAATTCAAATTTAAAAAATACTATAGCAGCATAATGATTACAATAATAATTCTTATTACAAATAAAATTTGGAATAAAAAGAACATTTTTAGGAAGTTGTTCAAGAAGTTCAACTTTTTTTAAAGGATTAAATTGCACTATATTGAAGTATGTATTCTTATGATATGGAAAAAAATTAAAGATCTTATCTTTGTCGATCGTCAACAACGGAAATTTATGATGCAAAGAATTTTATCGCAAACTAAAAACATTTATTCGAAGTGTTAAAAATTACATTCAAAATCTGACACATCTGATCAACACTTTCTAACTGTCATTTGAAAATAAGACTTTAATCTATTTCTTGCGCAAACAGCAAAGCATCCAAATAAGAGATCAGTTTTAAGCATTTCATTTTTATGTCACAAAATCATAAATTACCATATGAGAGATATTTTTGATTGTTTCCTTTGTGAATGTTTTTGGAAATTCCTATTAAATCTCTTTTAATTTGTTGGAATTTAAATATGTGCTAGTAAATATTGATGTTATTTTCCCTTTCTTGAACGCGTTCTTAGGACATATGCAAATTTCAGATACTCTTTAATTTGAAAGACGCGAAAGAGGCCTGATTGAATATTTAGAAAGTAATTTGGAATTGCTTCCCCTTACGGAAGTGCGCTAGCTTACCATTACGGAAGTGCGTATCGCAATAGTGGTTGTAGGAGTATGGATATATCTTTAATTTCTCACCTGTTATTAGAACAGACTGCGACACTGGATTTTATTACAAACAGAATGGTGTTGAAAAGCGGAACAACAGAAAATTAATAATTTAGTTAGAATATTTTGAAACTGCAGATAAACATTATTACTAACTATTAAATCTGATTAATATTTTCAGGTCAAATTTAAGTTTTAATATTTCTTCTTTCCCAAAATGAAAATATTATACAAAGCAGACAAAAAATTCATCAAATTTTCAGACCAAGCATGTCAAACTCGTGGCCCTTGGGCAGCATGCAGCCATTTTCTGTGGTCCATCACGATAAAATAACAAAATGCATATAATTATGATATATTAACAACAAATGGAACATTACCGAATATAGAATCATATATATACAACCTCGGATGCCGAAAGAGATTCTTGAAACATGAGTATCAAGTCTTGAGAATCTCTTTACAAAACTCCTTTTTTAGCGTCAGTTGAGAAAATGCCAACCAATTTATAACTGGAAGTAACATATATTAAGTGCTACTCAGCTCTAAAGCAAAAACTGAGGGAGTATCCTAGAAGTTTACAAATACTCGCCTGCGCGACCCCCAGAAAGCCGCAAATTTGTGACGTACGTGATTTCCATGTTTGATATTATGCACCAGTGTGAAAAATTTTTTGATTTATGAAAAGGAACAAGTCCTCAGCGAGTTAACATACATTAATCTGATCTCTGTTTTGAAAATTGCTAACGCGAGCAGCATAGACATCTGAAAGCTAGTTGTAAGATAAAGATGCGGTGTGTTGGAAAAGAAACCTAAGATATCCAATCTACGTTCCATCTAATTGTTTAAATGTTTCATTGTATTCCTTCTATAAAGCTACAGTATTTGGAAAGATTTTATGTACACTGATGGCCATTAAAAGTGCTATAGCAGGAAGGAAAGGAAATAACAGAATCTTACTTATTATTACATTTAGAGCATAATGGAAAGAAGATTGGATAACTGGATGAAATTTACAGGTGGTTTGGAGTATATAGCTCGAAGAATTAAGTACACAGACCTTCAATCCGGCTGGGCATCAAATCGAACTGAGCTTGAACAACATATACAGGTGCTTCATTGCATGTGCCTTCAATGCCAGCGCTCATCAATCGTGGTCGCTAGTGAGTGGCGGAGTGTCATTCTCTTGCAACCTATTGCCACATGTTTACATTGACTGAGAACCTGGAAAAGATGCTGCCCAGGGCAACATTCGAATGCTCTCTGTATCCAGAAAGGTCAGAACAGTCCTGAGATCATGCGGTCATGAAATTATCTTCTTAAAAGAAGGCGTAACGAAGGTTTCGATGATAGGATATCGAGTAGAAATGTTACATTCTTGACAGGCCAGAATGTAACAGCGGTTGTCCACATTATCGGTCATGAAAACAGGTGATTCGAATGTGTACCCAACGGTGCTCATAATTTAAAACTAATTACCATAACTCATAATAACGTAATAATGCCTATTAGTACCTAACCTGTTAGTACCCATAATCTGTTCTAATAGGTCAGGTGCTGGGCCTGTGTGATGATGAATTCAAGCTGGCAAACGTTTGTTCTCCTAAGTGCCTCCACACATATATACGTAAATCACGACGCTGTAAGCAGAATTGGCATTCGTCTGTAAAGGCGACCTGCTGCAATTCCTGCGTCCAGCGTCGTCGCCCGTCTGCCACTGTAGGCGCTGCTGTGTCTGCTGCAACGTCGAGGGAAGCCGCACAATGATCGCCGTGTTGCCGACGCCGTCGTACTTTCAGCGCGGACAACCGCCCAGCCTGTATAGTGATTACTGACGCTGACTGCCGTATCGATGGGCTCGGGTTCAGTTTGAATCCTCGAGAAAGCATGGATGTTATTAAGCCTATAACATCTAAGCAGCAAGAGGACACTCATACACGACGAGCCAAAAGTCCTCTCGAGAGTTTGATGGTATGAAAAAAGGGCTGGAAGGCCACTGGACCGCTCATCCCTCAAAATATGGGTGGAAGTTAGGTTCAGCAATGCCTCAATCACCTGCGGTCACAATAGATATGCAGGCCCAGCTTCTATCCGTATCTACCCGTGCAGATATTTGCCGTTCTGTATTCGAATTAAGTTCTTGACTCAGGTACTCACATGGTTGAACGATTCCGAAAAGTCAAGAGGACAACATGTCTGTCCTATCTAGCATAGGTGGCCTGGGGCAGCTGAGATCCTGCATGGTGTTCAGTATGGTTCTTCTGGATCGATCGATTCCATATTCACCTGACATGCAAGTAATCTCAACTAATATGAGTAGTAATACCGCAGTCCCGACAGGCGACGATCATGTTGTGGTTGAATTCCGATACGTACTAATAGAAGCTTCTCCTTCTTACATGAGACACAACACGAGCTTTACACAAATAATAAAAGTTCGAAGTTCACTGACTTTAAAAAAATTTTCCCTAAAGTTGTCAAAATGAGAATGCAAAAAACTGAAGCTTGCATTCTTTACTTAGCTTCAATTTTTCGCCCTTCGATTGCAGAATATTATGCCTGTCATACGGAGATCGAACTAAAACGCTTATGTTATCAACTTAGTTTTTGAAAAGTAAACAGAAGAAATCTTTGTATCCTACGCCATAAAAAATCTATAGGAAAAATACTTCTATTTGTTATTCTCTTACTTTCAAAACTACATGTTACTTGATGTTAGCCCCCTCGACACTCGAAAGAGGAACTGAAACTTAATATGACTTTTAAAGATCCAGTATCTGCCTCTGAATAAGACTTTTCTGCCCCAGGCCATGGATCAGACACACAACTTCAAAAAGTGCATACAGAAAGAGAAGTCTGCTAATTTTTGAAGACAGACAGACTGACCGAAGATCCTTGAATCATTTAAACAAGTTTTAATTTTATTTGAAGGTCTTTGCATTTTGTTTATTCTAAAAAAGCGAATGAAGAGGACATAGTGAATTATTTCCGAAGCAAAAGATACGGATCAAGCGATGATAGCAAGATGGAGACACAGTTATCTGAAGAACAAGTTGAATTCACCTTTAAGGTTTTGCAAGCCCTTCTTGAGCCGGAATAAGAGGAAGACTCATAGAATACTTATGTTTAGAGAGGAAAACTTATGTTTCTCAGAGAGGTTGTTATTAGAGAGGAAAACTTGTGTTTTTCAGAGAAATATAAGTTTCTTCTGGGGAGAAGGAGGAGATCATAAAGAAATCAAAGTCCATTGTCACTATCAATGATCTTCTGAAGAAGTGGTAAGAGGTTCAAATCTCAGCTAAAAATGGATTTACATTACAGCTTACTTCATCACAGTGGCCGATATGTTCAGTGATAGTGTCACGCACTATTTGACATCTGTTTTTGAGGAGAAGAAGGAAACCGCTATAATTTCTTGAAATCTAGTCTTTTGAAGAAAGCAAGGCAGCTCTGCAAGAAATTCAGTAGCAGCTATCTTCCACATCCAGTAAACAATGGAAAGACTCAGATGAAATTGCGCTGAAAACCTATTAGATTATGGGCGCACACAGTATGTGTAAATATTTGCTATAGCTAATAATAAATTAGTAAATTACTAGCATTTCCGACATTAGTATATTATTAATATTTTCAGAAATAATTTAATGATGACCCGTGGATTTGGACTAAATGTGGGAATAAATAAAAATTATTCCTTTAGTGAAGTTTACGAAACTGTCTCATATGACAGATATTTCGAATACAGAACGTTATCCTGGAGCAGACTGATTCGTTAGGCAAGGAAATATTTCTTTTTTTTGCCCATACGGCAATGCTGACAGATCCTGTAGGCTTATTCTAATAGACTGATAATAGTAAAAGTTTTCCCGGAAAAGCACATGGGCAGTTTGACTTTCCCACATAATAAGTAGAAAACATGTAATAAGACACTCTTTGAAAATAAGGTTCTCTGATTATGAGCATTATACGGTGGTAATCAAAATATTTTTTTAATTAAAAAAACACCTCTCAAATCTCTTCAGCCCTAGAACTAAGTGAATTAAGACATTTATTTTAAAAGGGTAAAATATTCTTTTTTTTACTTCTTCAAGTGAAACGAAAGTATGAGAAATGTTATTTATTTTAATTATAAAAAAAATTCAAGAAACATTCATTATACATAAATTTAGCACAAATTTTGAATCACAGAAAAGCAGCACTCAATCTGTTGAAACTTTCTCAGAAAGCATATCTTTTGTTAAAATATGCTTTGTTTAAACTTTAAGAAAAGAGAATTTTAGATTGATATATAAATATTTTCTAAAATTTGATATTTGCGCATTTTAAAATATCCCCTTAAAATACTTAAGATACGTAAAATAAATTTACTTAAATTCAAATTGCTTTCAAATTTTGTCTTTTATCACAAACAGATCTATTAGTTTCTCCCAACATACTGATACAAATTTTAATTCCTTTATAGGTGGTTTTAGACGCTATGCAGTTTCGCCTGACACAAATCTTTGTCTTCTTGGGAATATGCCTATTACTCTCCCCGCAGTTTTCTGAAGGTGCCTTGGGGAAAAAAATTCTAAAGTGGTTTCTGAAAAGAAGAGATATAATGCTTTTCCCCATCCCCATCCCTTTCTGGACGTAAGTAAAAGCTATGATTGCATAGAATCTTGAAATTTTGATAATGCGTGTAATATTTTCATTGATTTATAGATAAAAAATATAAATTAATTATTCCCTTCGTTTCCATTGCTAAGACGCTGCATTGGATTGGTTTCAGAAATTTACCTCAATAGGTTTACTTTTCTTTAAGTAAACAGTTTTGCTTTGGTTTCAGAAATTTACCTCAATAGGTTTATTTTTCTTTAGGTAAACAGTTTTGCTTTACTTGAGAATTTTTGTCCCTTAGAGTATATATATATATGTGTGTGTGTGTTTGATTTCCCTTAAAATGAATTATTTAGCTTATATTTGACATGACACAATTTTGTTTTTTTCCTCGTAAAGGAAAAAATAACTAATAAATAAACAAAATAAATGGAATTAATGAATCATTGCTTCCATTACTGCCAGAGCAGCTTTAAATGGACATTACAAGTTAGATTATTTTATTTGCCGCCACAAGAGAATGAGCCAGTAGAGTTTCTTAATAATGTTTTAACAGTTTGTAATGGCTAAATGATTGTTAATAAAATGCTTGTTTGAACAACACTTTTCTGAACTATTTTTCATTAAATTCAAGAAACAGTTTATTCTAGATCGCATTTATTCAGCATTTCTGATACTATCATTTAAATCAGATCTTCAATGAGACTTAAAACAGCGCAGTAGAACAGCAGTTCTCTAGAAATTTTAAGATTAAGAATTCTACATCATCCCGAGAACTTTCAGTTTCAAATATTATTCTGTAAATATTTTTGCATTATATTTATGCTTTACTTACTTTAATTTAAAAAAATAAATAAATTGGATAACATCCTCAAGTCCTCACGTGAGTACCACCAAAGTTTGCCGTCACGCCAGTAAAGGGCGGCACTAGCAATATCAAGACATTATCATATTATTCTCTGACTTTGTCACTCTTACGGTATTTCTCTTTTCGTCCATGCCCACCAGCGGCCGAGCGGTAAAGTCGCTGAACACTGGTAGTTCGGTCCGAGGTTCGACTCCCGCGAACGGGCTGGCTGCATGGGTGTTTTCGTGGTTTTCCCCATGTGTAACATGTATACGAGTCAGTTTCCCTTAGAAAGCCCTCCACGAAGGCATCCCTCCCCTTAAGCAGATAGCCCTAGTGAGCTTTGCCATAATTAAATACACACACACACTCTTTTCGTCCATTCGGATCGCTGTGCGATTGGACATAATCTTTTTTTTAACACTGTGAAAGATCCTAGAGCTTCATTATGATGAACTGCTAAATATATTCTATTATTGAAGATAGCAGAAAAAAGAAGTTCAAGTTCCAAATCATCTTGCAGTGGACTTAATATATGTTATAAATATAATATTCTTATATGTTCAACATTCACCATTAGTACATGGTAAATGTCGACATTCACCGGTGTAAGTCAGAAATAAGAGTATTTGGAAAATATTTCGGATATACACCAAGCGACTATGTGAATGTTGACATTCACCGGTGAAAGTCGACATTCTCCAGATTTCGGTGTTTCACCGTAATATATATACATAGCATTGGTTTATATAATATATAAAACCTTTATTTATAAACCAATATTATGTATACATATATATATATATAATTTTTAATTAGATAACGTTTTATATACCATCTGCAAGGAAAAGCTTTCTAATTTACTCATAATTACTGTTATTTATATATGTGGTAGGGGAGTTGAAGATGAATATTCCTAAGGTCAATAACAATTCCAACATTTTCCACACTACAGAACATTTAATGAAAATAATAGAAAAGGTTACATTAAATCGAGCCACAGTGTCGTTTGATACAAACAGGATTCTGCATAGCTTTTACATATTTTTTAATATATCAGCTTAGTGCCTACTCGCACTAGCTGTCGTATATGCAGTTTTGTTACCACCTTCTCGTGAACACAACCTCTTACCACCTTCGCGTGGGATAGACGACTGTCTGTCTATATGTCATACTCGTCTTTCACCTCGCTCTCGCTGCAGGCGGATAGGTGAGGCCCTCTGGTGGCTGTGTTGCACTTATGGATACAACAGCTCGGCGATCCTGACCCTGTTTTCGCCCTCGAAAACACGGATCAGTGAAACTGGTTCATCAAGACAGCACCTGAAAAATAAATTAAAAAAAAAAAAGAAAAGAAAAGAAAAAGAAAGAAAGAAGTGCGGAAGAACCATACACAGTTCCTAGACAGGAACAGTCCAAGGCTTCATGAGATCAGCTGCTGTAGTGGTACATACATGCGACATGCGACGGAGGACGTGGGCACCATCCCTCTACCATTAGGGTTAATTGGTACAGCGCCACGTCCACCTGTGTCTAGTGAAACGTGCCAAGGTCACTGAGGCCACGGAAACGCCTCGCACCGACCACCGAAACCCAGCGCCTGATGCAGGCCACATTGCATCAGCTATACCCTTGCGGCCACTGGGAAATTATTTTACATATACTGTAGAAAATGACATAGCTAAAGAAGGGTCATCGCTGCTGCTGCAGGCTGAATTATCAGACATTAGTATGCACAAGTTACTGAATTATATACCAGATTACTAAATTATATATTGGAGTACAATATGGTATAGAATCATGTAATGCATAGTAAGATTATGCTAATGCTCAAAATACATATTGAAACAGGAAGTATTATACATATTGAATTATGACACTTACTGTATCTGGACATACTAAGATATGATAACATGATGAGGTTATACAGATATTTCTGAGATTTAAAATACATGGTGAAACATTAAATACTGTACATACTGAACATGAGCATACTATGACTGAGCATATTGAAACATGAAATACATAGTGAGATAATACTAATTACGCTAATTACACGAAATACCTGATGAAACATGAAATACTGTACGTACTGAGACAGAAAACATACTATTACTGAGCATACCGGAACGTGAAATGCATGGTAAGATTATACTGATATAAGATACTGAATTATATACAAGGATTGCGGAATTATATACAAGATTGCGGAATTATATACAAAAGAGATATTCGTATGACAAATATAGAATGCATAGTGAGATTGTACTGAGACTTGAAAAGCATGTTGGAACAGGAAATGCTGAACATACTGAAACATATAACATACTATAATTGTACATTCTTAAGTCGTGAAATACATAATGTACTGCTACAAAGTACTGAGTTATATACGGAATACTGAATTATATCCAGAAGAGATATACATATGTCAATATTGAGCTGTATAGAAAGGTTATACTGGAGCACATTGTAACTGAGCATTCTGAAACACGAGGTGCATTATGAAATTATACTCATAGAGGACATTGTATTATAAACATGAGGGATATGCGAGTTAGAAGCATGAAGTACATGAGATTATACTAATGCATTAAATATGTAGTGAAATATGAAATACTTTACATACTGTACATGGTACTTACTGAAACATGGAACATACTGAAACATGGGTAACATAATGAGGATATACTGAAACAAGATACTGATACTAATACTTATGTTATACTGATATTTGAAAGACAGAGAAACATGGGAAAGTGAACATACTGAAACATGAAACATACTGTTACTGAATAAAATGTGACATGAAGTACCTTGTGAGTTTATACTGATGCAAGATGCTGAATTAGATACCGGATTACTGAGTTATACAAGGAGGATATATGAATTATAGATTTGAAATACATAGTACGGTGATTGATGCTGAAATAAGATAATAAATTATATACAGGATTACTGAATTAAATATGGGAGAGAAATACGTATTATAATGTTAAATACGTAGCAAGATATGCAGACAGACGCTACAAGAATACAGAAAAAATAAAAAAAAAAAAAAACAACAGTTCACTTGGTGACAAGATATAGGAGTGTGTAATAATGGCGTATATAAACTACAAACTTGAGATGCATAGTGCGGTGATATTGAAACATAGAGAGGGTGAGATTATACTGATACGAGATAGTGAGTTATATACATGATTACTGAATTAAATACCGGGAAAAAATACGCATTACAAATTTAATATGTATAGTGAAATTGCAGACAGGCGTTACAAAAATACGAAAATAACAGTGCGTTGGTGGCAGAATATCGGAGTACATGAAGCATACAATTGGTATTTCATGTGTACATATGATGCTGCTGACTGTGATTACAGATGCTGCCATTACCGCGTTTTATGATGACAAAGTACTTGTATACTACTGCTGCTGCATACGTAATAAGTTACATAATAAGAGCATACATAATAAGAGCATACATAATAAGAGCATACATAATAAGAGCCATTTATATGTGCAGTTACAATTATATAATGCTGCCAGTGAGCTCCCTTTAGCTGGTATGGGAATGTTGCATGATGCACTAAATACTCTTAAATGGTTTACACTTGGCATAGGTCTGTTCCTAAGCCCATAAGCATGTCAATAATTTTTGTAATGCTGCGTTTGAGATGTCGCTGCTTAATTATGAACCTGCTGAAGGCTAATCTGTTTGTCTCTGGGAACGGGATGTGTAGATCCTCCGTTAGTGAGCATTTTTCGACATAATGTTCTGGCGTTCCCAGTTCACCGCAGCAACATAAGGAGGTAGTCGTCTTGCCGAATCTTTCAAAGTAGACTGGGAACGGGCCATGCCCGGTAATATAGACCAGTTGTGGATTTATTATAAGACGTTCTGGATCAACCTTTGGCAGATGCGCATGCGCACGTCATCCTGTCTCATCGTTGTTCCATGCCTCTTGCCACAGTGTGATTGCGGCCTGTTTCAAGCTCTTTTTTAGATATGAGGTGGGCCATGGAATTTGCAGTGTCTCTGCATCGTTATTTTGGGCTGCTTCTTTTGCGAGCCGATCTGCGGCCTCGTTCCCAAGGTTGCCAATATGCACTTTTGTCCATTCTAGGTTGATTTTTAAGGTCTTGTGAAAAGAGAGTTGTTCTTGAATTGCTGCAATTATGGGGG